GAGTGTGACCCTGGGAGTGTGACCGTGGGAGTGTGACCGTGGGAGTGTGACCGTGGGAGTCTGACCTGGGAGTGTGACCGTGGGAGTGTGACCGGGGGAGTGTGACCGGGGGAGTGTGACCCTGGGAGGGGTGACCGGGGGAGTGTGACCCTGGGATGTGCCCCCGGGGAGTGTGACCCTGGGAGTGTGACCCTGGGAGTGTGACCGTGGGAGTGTGACCCTGGGAGTGTGACCGTGGGAGTGTGACCCTGGGAGTGTGACCGTGGGAGTGTGACCCTGGAGTGTGACCCTGGGAGTGGGGACCCTGGAGTGTGACCGTGGGAGTGTGACCCTGGGAGTGTGGCCCTGGGAGTGTGACCCTGGGAGTGTGACCCTGGGAGTGTGACCGTGGGAGTGTGACCGTGGGAGTGTGACCCCGGGAGTGTGACCCCGGGAGTGTGACCGTGGGAGTGTGACCGTGGGAGTGTGACCGTGGGAGTGTGACCCTGGGAGTGTGACCCTGGGAGTGTGACCCTGGGAGTGTGACCCTGGGAGTGTGACCGTGGGAGTGTGACCCTGGGAGTGTGACTGTGGGAGTGTGACTGTGGGAGTGTGACCGTGGGAGTGTGACCCCGGGAGTGTGACCCCGGGAGTGTGACCGGGGGAGTGTGACCGGGGGAGTGTGACCGTGGGAGTGGGGACCGGGGAGTGTGACCGTGGAGTGTGACCCCGGGAGTGTGACCCGGGGAGTGTGCCCCGTGGGAAGTGTGACCGTGGGAGTGTGACCCTGGGAGTGTGACCCTGGGAGTGTGACCCCGGGAGTGTGACCCCGGGAGTGTGACCCCGGGAGTGTGACCCTGGGAGTGTGACCCTGGGAGTGTGACCCCGGGAGTGTGACCCTAGGAGTGTGACCATGGGAGTGTGGCCGTGGGAGTGTGACTGTGGGAGTGTGACCGTGGGAGTGTGACCGTGGGAGTGTGACCCTGGGAGTGTGACCCTGGGAGTGTGACTCTGGGAGTGTGACCCGGGGAGTGTGACCGGGGGAGGCGTGACCGGGGGAAGTGACCGTGGGAGTGTGACCCTGGGAGTGTGACCCTGGGAGTGTGACTGTGGGAGTGTGACCGTGGGAGTGTGACTGTGGGAGTGTGACCCTGGGAGTGTGACCGTGGGAGTGTGACCCTGGGAGTGGGACTGTGAGAGTGTGACCGTGGGAGTGTGACCCTGGGAGTGTGACCGTGGGAGTGTGACCCTGGGAGTGTGACTGTGAGAGTGTGACCGTGGGAGTGTCAAGTGTGACCTCGGGAGTGTGACCGTGGGAGTGTTGAGTGTGACCTCGGGAGTGTGACCGTGAGAGTGTCGAGTGTGACCTGGAGGTTATTCCGGGGATCAACGCCCCCGCGGCCCGGTCCCTGACCAGGCCTCCCGATGGATCAGGGCCTGATCAACTAGGCTGTTACTGCTGGCCGCATGTAGTCCAACATACAACCCACAGCCCCGACTGATCCAGCACCGACTTTAAGTATCTTGAAGGCAGCGAGGGGTCTATTGGTAATTCCCCTTATGCCTGATGGGAGGATGTTGAACAGTCTTGGGCCCCGGACACTTATTGTGTTTTCTCTTAGTGTACTAATGGCTCCCCTACTTTTCATTGGGGGTATTTTGCATCGCCTCCCGAGTCTTTTGCTTTTGTAGGGAGTGATTTCTGTGTGCAGATTAGGGCCCAGTCCCTCTAGGATTTTCCAGGTGTAGATTATGATGTATCTCTCTCTTCTGCGCTCCAGTGAGTACAAGTCAAGTGTTTCCACAGTGAGACTGTGGGAGTATCGAGTGTGGAGGGCCCCTAGACTGTGTCAGGGTCTTCACTTAGACATGTTAATATCTTCACTTAGTCAGTATCTTCACCTAGATAGTGTCAGGATCTTCACCTAGAAAGTGTTAGGATCTTCACCTAGACAGTGTCAAGGGAGCAGTTATCTAGCAGTGTAATAAGGCACTGTTGGATGGTGGTGGGGAGGCAGGTTTCAGGTCAACACCCGCTCATCTTGTTTGACCAGTACACCACCACACTCACTGTGCACGCACGCACACACCTACACGCATACACTCAATAAACAAGTACACGAACGCATGTACATGTGCACAGTGTACTCACGTAATTGTGGTTGAAGGGGTCGATACTCAGCTCCTGGCCCCGCCTCTTCACTGATTGCTACTAGGTCCATTCTCTGCTCCCTGAGCTTTATCATACCTCGTCTTAAAGCTATGCATGGTTCCTGCCACCACTACATCACTTGCTAGACTATTCCACTTCCTGACAACTCTATGACTGAAGGAATATTTCCTAACATCCTTTTGACTCGTCTGAGTCTTCAGTTTCCAATTGTGACCCCTTGTTTCTGTGTCCCCTCTCTGGAACATCCTGTCTCTGTCCACCTTATCTATTCCACGCAGTATTTTGTATGTCATTATCATGTCTCCCCTAACCCTTCTGTCCTCCAGTGTCGTCAGGCCGATTTTCCTCAGCCTTTCTTAGTAGGACATTCCCTTGACCTCTGGAACTAACCTTGTTGCAAACCTTTGCACTTTCTCTAATTTCTTGACGTGCTTGACCAGGTGTGGATTCCAAACTGGTGCTGTATACTCCAGTATGGGCCTGACGTACACAGTGTACAGTATCTTGAATGATTCCTTACTAAGGTATCCCAGGCGCCCATATGCTGCAGTAGTTATCTGGTTGATGTGTGCTTCCGTAGACGGGCTCGGTGTTATGCTTACCCCAAGATCTTTCTCCTTGAGCGAGGTTTGCAGTCTTTGGCCACCTAGCCTATACTCTGTCTGTGGTCTTCTTTGCCCTTCCCAAATCTTCATGACTTTGCATTTGGCAGGGTTTAATTCAAGAAGCCAGTTGCTGAACCAAGTGTCCAGCCTGTCCAGGTCTTATTGTAGTCCTGTCTGATCCTCATCTGATTTAATTCTCCTCGTTAACTTCACATCATCTACGAACAGGGACACTTCTGAGTCTATCCCTTTCATCATGTCATTCACATGTGTGTGTGTGTGTGTGTGTGTGTGTGTGTGTGTGTGTGTGTTGTGTGTGTGTGTGTGTGTGTGTGTGTACTCACCTAGTTGTACTCACCTATTGTTGAGGTTGCGGGGTCGAGTCCGAGCTCCTGGCCCCGCCTCTCACTGATCGCTACGGGTTTAAGGGTCATATACTCTCCCTGAGCCGTGAGCTTTATCATACCTCTGCTTAAAGCTGTATGGATCCTGACTCCACTACATCGCTTCCCAAACTATTCCACTACTGACTACTCGTGGCTGAAGAAATACTTCCTAACATCCCTGTTGATTCATCTGTGTCTTCAGCTTCCAACGGTGTTCCCCTTGTTACTGTGTCCAATCTCTTGGAACATCCTGTCTTTGTCCACACTTGTCAATTCCTCTCAGTATTTTGTATGTCGTTATACATGTCCCACCACTCTCCTGTCCTCCATTCGTCAGGTTGATTTCCCTAACCTCTCCTCGTAGGACATACCTCTTAGCTCTGGGACTAGTTTTGTTGCAAACCTTTGCACTTTCTCTAGTTTCTTCACGTGCTTGGCTAGGTGTGGGTTCCAAACTGGTGCCGCATACTCCAATATGGGCCTAACGTACACGGTGTACAGGGTCCTGAACGATTCCTTATTAAGATGTCGGAATGCTGTTCTGAGGTTTGCTAGGCGCCCATATGCTGCAGCAGTTATTTGGTTGATGTGCGCTTCAGGAGATGTGCCTGGTGTTATACTCACCCCAAGATCTGTGTGTGTGTGTGTGTGTGCGTGATTATGTGGCACAGATCATGAAGGTGGTGGTGGTGGTGTGTTATACTGTGTATTATACTGTGCCCGTGTAGATGAAGCTCATATCTTTATTGTAAGTGATTTTGATTATCTATAAATTTTCTTAAATCGATGAGTGTTAATTGTGAGATGCTGGTGTGAGGAGCAAGAGATTGGTATGGTAGAATAGTATACAGTAGCATACCTCTCACATCGGCCTTCAAATGCGTGGTAAAGCTGATGAACTGTCAAAGTCTTCAAGGAGGGAGAGGATTACAGCTGTAGGCAAGCAGCTTGTAGTTTGAGGAAAATAATGAAAAAAAAAAACTTCCGTCTAGTTTCGTGAACCTGAGACAAACTGACAGACGTTAGTCCAAGGAAGCACTTGTCTCTGATATCCAACACGAGCAGCAGACTCGTGAATGTCACTGCTGCTCGGTTCCGGCTGGATAGTATAATATTCTGGGAATTTACACTACTAGCTGATGTAGACATAACCAAATGTAAATTTTGCCAGAAGGCCTATTGTCACACCCTGAATTAATTTAGAGACAATTCACTCACATATGTTCAAATGTCAAAATATTTTATTCACAGGGGTAGGTTAGTGGCCATGCTGGAAAAATGCCCAATCTTCGCTTAGTATAAATAACTCGTATATAATTTATTACCACATATAACAATTTATGCTTTATAACTGAATATACATCTGTGAAAACTCATTGCTATTGTTCTGAATTCAGTAATTAGCTCATTATCACTATAAATTGTTTGGTAAAGACAGATGTTGGGGTCCAGTCTGTAGACCCGTCATGTGTCTGTAATAATTTCACTACCCCTCACAGCATGGGTCCGGAATACATAAGAAAGATATTACACTTACAACTGGTAGTGGCCGTGGGTGCGCTTGGGTACCGAGGTAGGTGCTTATTTTATTGACCCTCAGGGAGACATCTTTGGAAGACGTCCCTAGGGAGACATCTCCATGAGCACGTCCCCAGGGAGATATCCTCAGAGAGATCAATATAACTCGTCTTCTCTGGGAGGCACACCAGACACACTACCCCTACTAAAGATGAGTGACGGAAGAATTATGCCTGAGGAAGATTAGAAAATTTAATAACCTGGCTTAAAAGGTGGTGGATGCAGATTTAACACATGACCTTAAGAATGTGTATGTTAATCACAATGAGTGCAGAAATTTTGTGTGATCATTGGTGAGTAATTCATAGGTAGGGGGTCGTGTGTTGAACTACACTTTTGTTATTGCATTGGCCATGAAAAATAGGCTGACAGTCTTTGTCATATAATGGCCCGTTCATTGACGTCTCAGGTCCTGTTGTGGCAGATAAGCTTACTGGTTTAACTCGCTGATGTAAATGAGCACGAGAATTGATCCCTGCAATCACAAATAGATGAGTACACATCAGTGAGTTCACACACCCACTCACAAAAACACACTCCTGCCTCCTCACCCACTCCCTACCAACCCTTCTGACCCGTCCCTCGCCACCTTGCAGACCACTAATGACATGTTGTGTTGCAGCTATCGCCGTCCGCTTCCTGACACGGCGCTACATCGGCGAGTACAACTCCGATACCGGTAAGTTTTGGACTTCCTAAGTAGCTAGATAAGTAGGAATAACACTACCTTAGGTGAGCAGGCATTTGTGCTTCTGGGACTCACTAAGTAGACGTTAGGTGAGTAGACGTGTGCTTCTGGGACTCACTAAGTAGACGTTCTTGGGACAGAACCTGTGGGTTCTGTCCCAAGAAATATGTAGGCGAGACAGGCAGAGATCTTGCAGTCCGCCTGAATGAGCATCGAAATGCCTCTAACAGAGACGATGTAAGGTACGCCTGTGTCCTCCACAGAGACTCCACGGGGCATTTGATGAACTGGAACGAGGCACAACTCGTTCTCACCGAACCAGACCTCAGACGCCGACGGTGCCTAGAAGCCTCACTAATCACCGTCACCGACACTATAGAACGCAACACTGGAAACTACAAAATTTCAAAAACATTGGCATACATGATACTTAAGCAGCACCAACCCAACAACACAGGAGTCACGTGATTTCATCGTCTACCCTCGCCTCGCATGGGCCAGTAGGCCTTCTACAGTGTTCCTCCATTCTTATGTTCTTATGACATTCCTCAGGTCACGTGCGTCACATCTCACTCTCCGCCTATATATATAATGTCTTTCTACCTCTGTATGTTAGAAGTGATCAAGGTTCCAGGACCGAAACGTTTTCTAATAAATATGTTATAGTGTTTGCTTACGTGTCTTTCTAAACCAACGTTAGGTGAGTAGACGTGTGCTTCTGGGACTCGCTAAGTAACTAGGTAAGTAGAACTAATACACACTTAGGTGACTACACATGTGTGCTTCTAGGTCCCATTAGGTAAGTAGAATCAACCTGTCCTTACAACGGAGATACCTCTCACACACCATTAATGAATCTTGCTGGGAATACAATGGAACGATCACTCTCGCCCGCTGTGCTGCACTTAGCTTCATCCTCCGTGTTAAATTTATAGTATAATTTTTAAATCTTTATTTTTCTGAGGTTAATGAGGCTATCGGAGGTGATCCCTTTATAGTGTGTAACCCAGATGCAGTTAATTGTTTGCGTAATGACATGTCTGTTATATAAAAAGATCTCATACATCAGCAGTAATTAGTAGAGGTGACCTTGTCAATTGCTGAGTGTTATAGGTGTATAAACTATTATTTTTTTTACAACAGTTTGCTACAAGCTTTTATCTGGACAGCGTTTTCCTTTGTGGAGAGTTTTAAGGCCTGGTCTCAAACCAGCCCGTGGGGGCGTTGACCCCCGAAACCCTCTCCAGGTATGCCCCAGGCATTGGCTCTGTGTATAGCCTGATAAAACTCTGCACAGAGCCAAACATTGTCCCAATAAAGCATGTTCTGTAACTCGTCTTTTCCTTACTATCGTCAGCGGTACGACACTTGGATCCTAAGCTAGGTACACCCTGAGTGAGCGGCTGTCCTGTTCGCCAAGGCAAGACTATTGTACAAGTCTTTAAGAAATATGTACGACACTCCTCCACTTGAGGAGCCAATACTGGGTCGCCTCAGGGACAAGTCACGGGCCGGGACCATACCAACGAACCACTTCGAGTAGAATAAAATGCCCTGTTCAGTATGATTTTAAATTTTGATGCATGAGCGACTATTATACATCCCATACCCATCCCGTAAATGGTAGCCCAGCGTCATATAATTGTTGTATATGTCTTATTCATCAACTTGTCGGTACTGTGTCATTTATAGGATACTCAAAAGGCCTAGAGATCTCAAAAAGGTTAACACAGTTGGATATGGATTGACAATTTATATTTTATCTCTTGAAAGCGAATTTAGGGGGTGTCACTAGCACGTTAAGAGACCATACAATAAGTGTCAGGGGCCCGAGACTGTTCAACTGCCTCCCAGCACACATAAGGGGGATTACCAACAGACCCCTGGCAGTCTTCAAGCTGGCACTGGACAAGCACCTAAAGTCAGTTCCTGATCAGCCGGGCTGTGGCTCGTATGTTGGTTTGCGTGCAGCCAGCAGCAACAGCCTAGTTGATCAGGCGCTGATCCACCAGGAGGCCTGGTCACAGACCGGGCCGCGGGGGCGTTGACCCCCGAAACTCTCTCCAGGTAAACTCCAGGTTAGGAAGCTTGTTAATGTTAAGTGTATTATTTTCATTAATAAGATGCCTTGACATATTATACTGGTTATTATACTATCTCCAAATTCGTTAATAAGTGGACAATTAATCACATAGTGTTCAAGAAAGTGATCATAAGGCTGACCACATACTTTGCATTTAATTTGATCATTGAAGAAACACATGACCAATGCAACCAAGATTATACAGTACTAACATGTGAGTATCAAAGATTTGCCTTAAAGTCCCGAGGATATCATAAGTTGTACCATGCTCTCCATGGGCGGTTGATCGACCTTAAATTAATGATATATCTAACTTATATTCGGTAAAGAAGTAATCACTCGTCAGTATTCTGGTTCATGAAACAAATCAGTTGCAATCTTTCTTCAGAAGCATTTTCTATGTATTTTATGAAACAGGAGATTTTTCATACCTTGATGACTTTTGGCTACCCAAATGTTTAAAGGAAGAGGCAATGGACCCACCCAGGTTGCAATGACTTGGGTCCTGCTTGTAAGTCTTTTAGGTCCAATGATGTGTTCACTTTGTTAAACAGGAAGGCTTCATGAACAGAAGATATTCAAGGATCATGATACTTACACATTTTTTAATGTGTAGCTTGTGTAGCGGAGAACAGAGCAGCTCGAAGCCTCTATAATTTGTATTAGGCAGGTCTTCAAACACAGCATCATTTCTTTTCCACTAACATATAATTGTGAAAAGTATTTCTGAAATGAAGCCCTGTGTTAGTATGTTCCCTCGCTGTTTTCATTAACGAGATGCACTCAGCAGTAAGTTGGATATTCTCAGGGAAGTCCAGTCTTACACTTTAACTCCTCGAGGCAATGCCAGTTTCGCTCTGCGCTCACCAAGGTCGTTCAGTATCACATTGAGTTGGAGTCATGCGAGCTTGGCTGCGTCAGAGCTTCAGACATTTCTCATTTCTTCTACTCTTAGATGGTTGACATCTATCTTCATTTTCAACCCTCACTTTAATGTGTTGCTCTGCGGGATCTCTTATATTTGCAATATTAGTATCACACTCAAATCTTTCACTACACAGAGATTCCTTACTCACCCACGAGTCCCACACTATCTGGAGGCCACACCACCCTCCAATAGTGAGAGGGGCCACGCCACTCTCCAATAGTGAGAGGGGCCACACCACCCTCCAATAGTGAGAGGGGCCACGCCACTCTCCAATAGTGAGAGGGGCCACACCACCCTCCAATAGTGAGAGGGGCCACACCACCCTCCAATAGTGAGGGGGCCACCCACCCTCCAATAGTGAGAGGGGCCACACCACCCTCCAATAGTGAGAGGGGTCACACCACCCTCCAATAGTGAGAGGGGCCACACCACCCTCCAATAGTGAGGGGGCCACACCACCCTCCAATAGTGAGAGGGGCCACACCACCCTCCAATAGTGAGAGGGGTCACACCACCCTCCAATAGTGAGAGGGGCCACACTACCCTCCAATAGTGAGGGGGCCACACCACCCTCCAATAGTGAGGGGGCCACACCACCCTCCAATAGTGAGAGGGGCCACACCACCCTCCAATAGTGAGAGGGGCCACACCACCCTCCAATAGTGAGGGGGCCACACCACCCTCCAATACTGAGGGGGCCCCGCCACCATCCAATACTGAGGGGGCCACACCACCATCCAATAGTGAGGGGGCCACACCATTTAATAGTGAGGGGACCACACCACCCTCCAATAGTGAGGGGACCACACCACCCTCCAATAGTGAGGGGACCACACCACCCTCCAATAGTGAGGGGACCACACCACCCTCAAATAGTGAGGGGCCACACCACCCTCCAGTAGTGAGGGGGCCACACCACCCTCCAACACTCAGGGGGGCCACACCACCCTCCAACACTCAGGGGATCCACACAACCATCCAACACTCAGGGAGGCCACACCACCCTCCAACACTCCGGGGGGCCACACCACCCTCCAACACTCAGGTGCCACGCCACCCTCCAACACTCAAGGGAGCCACACCACCCTCCATCACTGAGGAAATCAGGAAGAGGAGAAGGAACACACAAGGTGGAGAGATTACCTCCAGATATACGGGGTCATTAACTCACATGGGAGCCAGCAGGAAGCAGCATTATCAATGCTGGCAACATTCAGTAGCACTGTCATTGCATGCAGCATTGGGTAACACTGTCACTGCATGTATCACTGAGTAACACTATCACAGCAAGTAGCACAGTACAACACTATCACAGCAGGTAGCATGGTGCAACACTATCACAGCAGGTAGCAGGAACAACACACACAGCAGTACTGAGGCAACACTATCACAGCAGGTAGCAGTGCAACACTATCACAGAGTGAGAGTTCAACACTACACAGAGTACACGGTGCAAACTACAAGCAGGTAGCATGAACAACATAACAGCAGTTACATGTGGCAACATACAGCAGTAGCATGTGCAACATCACAGCAGTAGCATGGTGCAACACTATCACAGCAGGTAGCATGGTGCAACACTATCACAGCAGGTAGCATGGTGCAACACTATCACAGCAGGTAGCATGGAACAACACTATCACAGCAGGTAGCATGGTGCAACACTAACACAGCAGGTAGCATGGTGCAACACTATCACAGCAGGTAGCATTGTGCAACACTATCACAGTAGATAGCATGGTGCAACACTATCACAGTAGATAGCATGGTGCAACACTATCACAGCAGGTAGCATTGTGCAACACTATCACAGCAGGTAGCATGGAACAACACTATCACAGCAGGTAGCATGGAACAACACTATCACATCAGGTAGCATGGTGCAACACTATCACAGCAGGTATCACGGTGCAACACTATCACAGCAGGTAGCATGGCAACACTATCACAGCAGGTAGCATGGTGCAACACTATCACACAGTACACGGTGCAACTATACAGCAGTAGCATGGAACAACACTATCACAGCAGGTAGCATGGTGCAACACTATCACAGCAGGTAGCATGGAACAACACTATCACAGCAGGTAGCATGGAACAACACTATCACAGCAGGTAGCATGGTGCAACACTAACACAGCAGGTAGCATGGTGCAACACTATCACAGCAGGTAGCATGGAACAACACTATCACAGCAGGTAGCATGGTGCAACACTATCACAGCAGGTAGCATGGAACAACACTATCACAGCAGGTAGCATGGAACAACACTGTCACAGTAGATAGCATGGTGCAACACTATCACAGCAGGTAGCATGGAACAACACTATCACAGCAGGTAGCATGGCAACAACACAGATAGCATGGAACAACACTATCACAGCAGGTAGCATGGAACAACACTATCACAGCAGGTAGTATGGATCAATGCTGCGTCACTTCTAGCAAGGCTGAGTCTCACTGCTGAGAATTTCATAGTGAAAACGACAGCTACCTGTACCTACCCTGTCATATTCCATCATGCAAGTTATGTTGAATGATAGAATATGGCAGGGTAGCTCGGGACAGGGGTGTACGTAGATATTAATTAGTACGTAGTATTAATTAATTTGTTTGGGTTTAGGTTTTTTAAGTGACTGTAAGTCATTATGGTTTTATTTTTCCTGTTCACTATCAAGAAAACCTTAATCCAAAAAAACAGGGATCACTGTAAACTCTCGGTGTATATACCCTGAATGATACTTCTCAGTGTATATACCCTGAGAGATATTCACTTCTCGGTGAATGTACTCTGAGAGATACACACTTCTCGGTGCATATGCCTTGAGGTATATATACTTCTAGTTGTATTTACCCCCGAGAGATACCTCCCGGTGTATACACCCAATTCAATGTAGCATTGAATCTAGGTAGAGAAAGTCAGAGATTGCTTATAGATGGACATAACGTTGGCGAACCTAACCTAACGTAATCTAACCTACCCTAATCTAACCTAACCTAACTCAAGTTAAATTAAGTTTATTAACCTAACCTAGCTTAAATTCATCAAACTCACTCTGTCACTGTAGAGGATAGGTGGTCGGTACTGTAACTAAATATTATTGTAAACACGAGTCACCTGCGGTGGTGACGCCTTGCTGCACTGTGCCATATAACCTGGTCAGGGTGGTGACCACCACCTGGTCAGGGTGGCGACCACCACCTGGTCAGGGTGGCGACCACCACCTGGTCAGGGTAGCGACCACCATCTGGTCAGGGTGGCGACCACCTCCTGGTCAAGGTGGCGACCACCACCTGGTCAGGGAAACGACCACCACCTGGTCTTCTTAAGACAAGGTGCAGGTGGTGAAGAAGATAATATTTTGAGAGAAGGTGCAGGTGGTGAGGCAGGAATAATTTGTCCTGATGGAAGGTGTAAGTGGTGACGGATGAAATATATTGTGTTGAGAGACGGTGCATGTGGCATATATGTCGGTGAAACCGCACATGAAGGAATATGAATACGTGTGTTACATACATATGACACAACGCTTGTGTCATACATAGAGATAACCACAACTGTCTCACGAAATTGACAGTGGTGGAACTGATCATTAAAGAGAGAAATACATATATACGAAAGTTTTTGGATTCTGCTGTAATCAGCACACCTAACACCACTACACAAAACCAAGGAAGTTTCAGAGTCACAAAACTATTGGAACACGTTCCAAAACACTTGGAAAAACGAGACAACACAATAGACTCATATCTCTGCGTAAGAACAAAGGCTCATGGCAGCAGAGGAGCACTTTTGTAGGCTCACTGTCCCGTACTAATCAGAACCTTCTACCTCGGTTACCTGCTAGTTCCAGTCGCCTGCACTGGACCAGCCACCTCCTATTATATCTCACTCTCCTCTCTACTATCCATTAGGGTACACGTCTTATCATCCCACTTAGTTTTTTTAGTTGGCAAGCGAGTCGCCTGTGAAGCACTGTATAAAAAGCTTTCTGACACCCCAGAAAATATGTCATACATTTTCTTTTTCTGATATTGTGCTGTTGGTCTGTGATGAGGCCTGTATTCTCCAGGTGCTTAGCTTTCTATACAATAGGATCATCTACACTTCACAGAGTTACTGATCTGCAGTTTAAGACTTTCTCTTTGTTCTCCTTCTAAATATTACACATTTACTATTTTATAGCTCCGTGGTATCTCTCTCATATCTATTATGGCACTGCAGACCTTTGATAGTTGCATGGTCATTATGCCGACCTTCTTCCTTCAGCATCCATTGTCAGATCTTTTTTGGCACCCTAGCCATTCTTGTATCAGTCTCTTGCCTGTATTGCCTTACCTTCTCTTCTCTGTTGCTATTTGTGAAACGTTCCACACTTTTTAATAAATCACTCACTTGGAACTGCATGAGTATTATTCTAAGATAGGTGTCAGCAGGACTGTACCTTAACTTTGCCATCCGTGTTGTTTCTAAACAGGTCCTCTCACGCTCTTCTCTGTTTTCTATCACTTGTGCGTTGATTTTTCTTCCCTACATTTCCTTTTGTAATACATTCTACAAAATAAAAATTTACTGTCTTCCTTTCTGTGCAGAAATGATGTATCAACACGAGACCATGGTGGACCACGAGGCTGCACGTCTCCAGTTGTTAGACGCAGCCACAGCACAGGTGAGCTATTTTACCCTAGATATGATACCTGTTGACTCACGAAATCGTAATAACACGATTGTAAGCAAACTAGGATACGGGTGGGATTTGAACCCATGGCAAGTAAGTTTTAGGACTCACATGGCAGGGTTCAAACCCCACCTGTTCCGTGATTTGATGTTTGTGACCCTGTTCTATAGTATGTAATGTATAGACGACGATTCACAACCCTTGTGTTCCTGTTTATAATAATGATGAAATTACCGGAGATTTACGAACCGGATATAGATCAGTTCCGGTCTGTTATACACACGACACAATATCTGGCTTTAAGTTACAAGTGATGTGTGTATTAGATAACTAGACTTGTTTTTAGTTGCTGCGCGAACCGAAAAAATATATCCCCAGTATCCCATTAATCCGGCCCCCTATATCTGAAATGCTTGCGAAAAGAATAGTACAGAGTGCGGCATAAGTTTCTAATGCAGTTAAATATCGATGTTAAAACTGTGAAGCTGATCAGGAGGCATTCAAGTTGTCGCATGGAAAGTGATATCTCAATTTCTTCAATAAAAGTGACAAGTTGGTAAAAACAGCCCAAGATCAGTCTAAAAAGTTGATCCAATTAAGATATATCAATATTTGAGGCTTAAAGTCAACAAAAGAGGCATTCTCCATTCAATGTAGAAAAAAAAACAATATTAGTACAATTGTTTAATTGAAACTTGCACGACTCAGTAACAATGGGAACTTTTGATGTCATACGTGTAGATGTGAGAAAGTAAACTCCGGTGTCATGGACCATCAATATGTTCGCTCTATTGACAATGTTAAAATGCTTAAATTCAACGATATTTTTGTATAAAATAAAGCAAGTGCAGTTTAGGCAACAATAACTGTCAATATTGTTAAAGTTTTAAACGAAACAAGAAGGCAGTGTATACTAGAAAATAAGAGGAATTATAGTTAACAGGAACGAGGACCGATTTTTAGGCATCCCGAGACGAGGAGAACCTACAGAGTGTTGGAGTTTTTCTTCCCTTGTGATTCACCTTCATAATTTTGAAATGCCTGGTTCGATTGGTTGTAAATTTATAATTCTGGTGAACTATTACTAGACAACTAATAAAAAACCGTTACATTATTTCTTGGTATTAATACTGCAAGTAATGTATGTATTGTATCAGTTCTGGCAGTAACCTGTATAATGTATTTTTTTGGGGGTAAATAAATAATTGAATCGGATTTTGTGAGCAGTTATGTGAATGTTTGTGTTGTTAGTGTGTCACATCCTGACGTGCGTTTCATCTTAAGAAACCCAGTGACGGATCTATACAAAGTTTGTTCTCCCATCCATCATCTCCCTTCGTAATTGTTTTATTATAAGTATGTTTATAATTGTTTAAAAGTGATGTACTTTTAATGGTGATAGTTGACGTGTTTAGGCACTCCAGCTGCTGGCTCCACCGGAATTATTTCTTAATTATTTGACGCAGTAACCACACAAAAGTCAATGTTGATCAATCTTGTCAGTCCTTTGATAATGTGTTTGTCATTGTCAATTATCAGAGTAAACTATGACTTAAATTAAAATGGGTCTCAGTACGTTCTGACAAGTGTTATCTGTCTGTAAATTGTTCAACAAATTCAAATGTTTTTATTATAGCATAAACCAATCCCACTAATAAATTACGACCACTACCCCAGAAACCCTATGAAATCCTCTTACAAATTTTTAATCAAGTACAGTAATTAATTTATTATTCTGGTAGGTCTCAGGACACATTTCATACTTTGCTGCCTAATATACAGTCTTAGAAGAGCTGACAACACGACACACGATGCATTGCAGGTTGTTATTTCAGACGATGATTTGCCCAGGACTGAAAAACAGAAGAGATATGTTTTCCTTGCCCTTTGCCTTACTGTATGTTTTCCAGCAAGACAGAGTAACCTAAGGCGAAACACATTCGTCGCCTCTCACTCCCTAGATATTACAATGTTCACATGTCAACAGCGTGTAAAATTATTGTATATATGTTGGTAGAATTACCAACAATATGTAAAGTAAAAGGACACAAGTGCAATTAGTGTGACGTTTTATTGTGGCAACGTTTCGCTCTCCAGGAGCTTTATCAAGCCGTTACGACTTGACAAAACTCCTGGAGAGCGAAACGTTGCCACGATAAAATGTCACATTAGTTGCACTTGTGTCCTTTTACTTTACATGTAAAATCATACACTCACTTGGACCTAATACGCTCACACGTGCCTGGATGTACAGGCGTAATGCCAATAGGTGTAGTTATATATACATAATATACAAAATAAGCTTGTTCTTCATATTGTATCTTCATGCCCACACATATTCCTGTTGAATGCATGGAACTCTAATTCTTAAGAGTCTTTCGCCCTTCCTTGGACGTCCCGTACACTTTCCATCCTACCCATATTTACACACCATTTTGTTAATATATCTTGCTAAATCTGTTCTAAATAGCCACTCCACTCTCTGCATTATACTTTTCAGAATTACCACACCCTCTTCTAATTTCTTTACTCTTATTTTTTATTTTTTTTATCAAAATATTCGTGCTACACATTAATCTTAGACACAGCATCACTGTCTCCAGGGTCCTCCTCACTGCAATATTCAAAGACCATGCCTCACACTCACAAAAGAGCCGACACAGTATCACTCTACACTGATATGTTCCTCTATTTGCACACACCGTTAAGCATCTTTCTTTCCATAGGCTCCTTAATATTTATGCTACTTTCTTTCCCTCACTAATTCTGTGATTCACCTCGTCACTGAATTCGCTCACTTCATAACTCCGCCTTCTACTCTGAATTTTTATATTTTATTGAATTGACTTCTTACGTTCATCACGTTGATTATATCTGTGCTCGCCTTCAACACTACTTGCACACTTTCCATTATAATCAACCAATTCCTGCAGCTTCTCTGAATCTCCAAAACGCTGCTCATCTACACACCTCTCCGCAATACTCCAGCATTCACTTTATTTATAACCTCATCTTTAAGCACATTACACAGCCACTGTAATACCACACATCCTTGTCTAAAGCCCATATTTGCTGGAGAATATTTCCTCTATTTCCTGAATACCCTAATCCGAACCTCACTTTCCTCATAACAACACTGCAGTTTTGTTTAACTTACAGTACAACCAGTTCAATGGATGTAAAACACAAGGAAATTTTTTTTCCATATCTGTCCTATATCCTATCATGTGCCTTTTCCAAATTCACTGTTCACCTATCTGTTTTAATGAAAAAACATGATCCACACATTCCTTAACTTCCTTAATTGATAATCCTGCGTCATACACTCGATATACTTATTCCGCTATAAATCCTACACTCTCGTCCCATTTTTCATTATGCAAAGGAACCAAGCATGCTCTCTCTTAACTCTTTCCATCCTTGCTGTTTCCCCCTCCCTCTCCCTTCCTTTCACACTACTTAATGCATCACTCACTTCATAATCAGATCGGATATTTACCTCCTAACAAATCCTATTTCTCCTTGCACTAGACATAATATTTCTTCCACCATTTCAACATCTTCATTTACCGCCTCAGAATATTCTCTCCAATACCTCCACCTCCCAACCAAACATCTCACTACTTTTACTTAACTGACAAGTCCGTTTGTTCCCCAGGCTCTCTCATCTTATTTATCTTTCTCCAAAAAGGGACAAAAGAAAGTGACGTTCTCACACTCGTGATTCTGGAAGTGACGAGAGGTGACCTGAAAATACTTGTTAACAGTGACCTGATGTAAAGTTGGGGCTACAGCAGCACTATTGTTTCACTAGAAGGTTTTAACTCTGACAGTAAACTCTGAACTAATTTTAACTTAGCAGTGTAAACATTAATTGTTAATATGAAAGCACTCAAGTATTCACTTCAGTTAACTGTGGTGATCCCTGTATGTTTTGCAAGCACTAGCTCTTGTGATGCATCACTCTCTCTCTCCCCGCACACACACACACACACACACACACACACACACACACACACACACACACACACACACACACACACACATACCCACCTGCCTCGGTGGGAGACGGCCGACTTGCTAAGGATATATTTTTTTAATATTGTTTCAAATTTGTTTTTGCAATAAATCAGTGGAAATCAATTTGAACATTATGAAAAAAATATATATCACTGAATTCAGTGATGTATATTTTTCCGTTATGTTCAGATTGATTTCCACTGATTTATTGCAAAAACAAATTTTAATTCTGATAATTCGCCAAACAAGCCAAACTCGGTGATTCGGCTTAATCGGCACGACATATATATTTAACACCGGCCGTCTCCCACCAAAGCAGTGTGACTCGAAAAAGAAGGAAAACACTTTCATCATCACTGTCTTGCCAGAGGCGCGCCGATACTGAGGTTCAAAGTGTAAATATCCTCACTCATGACTCACGAAATCGTAATGACACGATTGCAAACAAACCATACCACGGGTGGGGTTTGACCCCGCTGTCAGAGAGTCTCAAAACTCCAATGGCTAACGCGACGGTCTGGAGTTTTGAGACTCTGACCGCGGGATCAAACCCCACCCGTGGTATGGCTCATTCTCACTCACAGGCGACCCGGTGGCCTGGTGGCTAAAGCTTCCGCTTCACACACGGAGGACCCGGGTTCGATTCCCGGCGGGTGGAAACATTTCGACACGTTTCCTTACACCTGTTGTCCTGTTCACCTAGCAGCAAATAGGTACCTGGGTGTTAGTCGACTGGTGTGGGTCGCATCCTGGGGGACAAGATTAAGGACCCCAATGGAAATAAGTTAGACAGTCCTCGATGACGCACTGACTTTCTTGGGTTATCCTGGGTGGCTAACCCTACGGGGTTAAAAATCCGAACGAAATCCTATCTTATCTTATCTTATCCTGCAGTCACTGTACGTCCCACCTCCAGGACTAAACTCCGGTTAATCGGTTTCTCTGAATCACTTCATAAATGTTACTTTACTCATGCTATAATAGCATGCCAAGTCATACAAACTACTTGTTTCCACTTAGTTCTGTCTAACACACACACACACACGTTTGCTGAATATCTAGGTCTTTCCCACACAAATCCTCTTTTACCTCCTTCCTCCAACCTTTCCTAGGACTACCCCTACCTCGCCTTCCCTTCCCTACAGATTCATATACTCTCCAAGTCATTCTGTCTCATTCTATCTTCTCTAAATGTCCGAACCACCTCAACTCCTCCTCAACCCTCTGAATAATACTTTTAGTAACCCCGCACCTCCTTCTAATCTCTAAGCTACGAATTCTCTGCATAATATTTATATCACACATTGCCTTCAGACACGATTTCTACTGCTTCTCCTTGTTGCAACATTCACTATCCATGCTTCACACCCATATAAGAGCGTTGATACCACTACAGTCTCACACATTTCCCTTTTATGCAATAATCGCAAACTGATTACAGATGCAAAAGAACCACAAGGGAAAGTTGAATGACAGTTCTAGGCTTTTCGTGTTGGAGCCAACAAATTTTCAAGAGCTTGCAACAGTGCAAAGGAATAGCGAGGAACCCACGTAGGTGTCCATGAAGAAGCCTACAAAAGCTTTCTCATGGACACGTCACACACACGTATACATATTATTTTCATATTTTGCTGCATTAGAATGTTATGACCATCCCCTACTCATTTTGCGTGCATTGCGGTAGAGGAGGGTGGGCTTGTAGCATACGGGGATGTCTTTCTCGGATCGCGCAGCGACCAAATTACATTTTACGTTTTACTTTGCAGACTCCACACCAGATTCTTCGTCACCTAGCCTGGGCTGATGCCTTTATTGTGGTTTATGATGTCACCAGCCGCACCTCCTTCGTCCACGCCAGACAGCTGCTGCACATTCTTCACACTCACATTCCTGCTGTATCATATACTCATGCTGCAGGAGACAATGATGCAAATACTGCAAACGCCCTTGACATAAACCCCCAAAGTACTCATGACATACAGCTCAGGAGTGGCAGTAACGAATGCCCTGTAAGTGCACACATCCCATACGTTCTGCAGAGCCATGACACAAGTGCTCCAGATTCTCATGGCACACATACAGTGAATAGCCCTAATACTCAGAGTTCCTATAAGCAAAGCACAGTCAGTCGATGTGATCTGAATACACACTTCTTGAGTAGTCACGACATTCACATCAAAGATGGTCAAGACTCATGTGTCCAAGGTGACAATAATACTCCCGTCTGGAGTAACCATGATGTTTTTAAGAGTAATGCTAAAAGGTTTCACCAAAGTAATCACACACATCTAAACTACAGCCACCTTCCATGCCAGTCCTCTACAGCTAGCCACACTGGATCTAGTTGTAGGTACTGCAGTGCTAGAAGCTCCTCTATGGTCATAAATGCAGAAGAGTCATCTCGGGACATCCATCAACCGTACTGTAGAGCTCTGAACTATATTCCTCACACTGGCACTAGTAGCCAGTCCGTTAGCCATTCCAGTCATCACCCAAATAATTACTCTCTCTCTATCAACAATCGACAAGTCGACAGTCATTGCCATAATTCAAATATGCATGGTCTTCATATCTACAGGCACCAGTATCAAGGCAACCCTAGATATGCTAGCAAACAAAATAAGATGACAGACAAACATATCAATCATAATTACATCAACCATCAACATAACTCTCGTGAGCAGTTCCCCACCACATATGACTGCGTCATTTGTCATGATCCAATTGGCAGCCAAAATTTCATTAATCCTGCTGGATTAAATTTACTTCACTCTAGAGTGTTAGATGCAGACACGCCATCAGATCACAGTGATACCGGTATAAAAAATCTTAAAAAACAGGTTCATTTATCAAAGACAAGTTTTCTAAAACAAAGCGAATGTATGAATCGAAGCGTCACATACGTCAATGAATTTCCTGTACAATCATGCCATAGGGACCCCCGCTCGAATCATGGCCAACAAAGAATTCATTGCCTACATCATACCCAACAAAGAAGACACAGTCACAGACAAAACCACCTGAGACATGACATCCCAAGTTACAGTTATCAGAGAGGCTACAACTCGAATCATAATTATTCAGCAAGTAACAGTTTTGACTCTAGTCACCAAAGAGACTGTAACCAAGATCATAGTCACCCCCCAAGAAGTCATAGCCCAGACTACAGTCACGTGAGAGGTCAAGACAAGGATCAAAGTCACTTACAGCACAGCCCCAACAATAATCACAAAAGTCACGGCGCTGACCGTAACCACCTGAAAAGCTACAGCTCTGACCATAGCCCCCCAAAAGACCACAACCCTGACCATAATCATTCCAGAGGATACAACCCCAAACACAGTCGTGTGAAAGACCACAACCTCGACCATAGTTACGCAAGAGATTCCAACCCTGGCCACAGTGACCAGCGAGATGACAGCCGTGATCATAGTGATGCGAGAGATTCCAGCCCTGAGCCGTCTTTTCAGAGAGAGGACAGCCCTGATAATTATTACTCCAAAGACGACAGCCCCGACCATAAACACCTGAGAGGTCACACCACATTGCTCCTGGGTAATAAACGAGACCTGGAGCATTTTAGGTAAGTGATTACATTATATATATATATATATATATATATATATATATATATATATATATATATATATATATATATATAAAGGGTCCACCTCTGATGCAATATATGGAGTCCCTTTGCCTTGGAAAAGTAATTGAAATGTTTTCTAGGAATGGTCTATGGACCCTTCCTAGAAACTATGTGTGCACTAATCTTCTCCTACCACCCCATATACACATGTATTTTTTTTTTAATTTAGGGATCATTTACTTAAAAAGCATAAACATGAATTCATTGGTGTAATATATCATAGATTATGAATCTCCTCAAGCTCCTCTGAAGGTGGACGTGAGCCAGTTATGCAGCAAGCATTTCCCCTCTGGACGGCCACGGTGAGGCGCTGGAACATGAAACTGGCCGCCCTTGAGAGAGAGAGAGGGAACTGAACTTTATATAACCTCCTAAGGCGAAAACAGTAATTGGTTTTGTAAAGAAAAACAAGTTGCAGAACAAGCATATTGAGATCACTTTTCTTTTAGAGAAAACACAAAATCTCTCTCCCTGAAGCACACCATTACACACCTTTCAGTGATTAAGAACATTTTTCATGATAGGAAAATAATTTTTGTGCATTTTATACAAATAAGTTGAGCTATCTGGTGAAACTTTCGGTGTGTTACTTAATAATCTTATTTCTTGCCTATGCTTCTATAAATCAGCAAATAGATTCCTGAAGTCACTCTGCAGGAACTTTACTGCTTCACTGTATCTTTCCACAGGGATCTGTACAGTTCTTTCCTTGTTCTTTACAACAGGGAAAGCTCATTTCTCTCTCCATCAAAAGCTGTCACCTCACCATGTCAGACAATAGTTTTCTTTAACCCTGAAACCTTAAAATCAAATAATTAAAATGGTTTCTCGCATCACTTATAGCCAACTCCCGATTCCACTGAGAAACTGCTTCTCGATCTTTTCCTTTCTAGTGAGAAAGATACAATTTATTTTATGCAGAGCAAAATACACCCGACCTCAACTTGGTACAACACATTCCCAAAGTCTATTTCAAACAAGAAGATTTGAAACCTGATGTAATTCACATTTGACGTGACCCCCATCATATTCTCGAACTGAAGAATCTTCCTGCACGAAGTCTGCCTGTAAATAATGCACTGATTGACAAGAGGCAAGATCCATACATAGCTTAAGAAAAGGTACGATAAGGCTCTCGAAGCCTTATCGTACCTCTTTGCTGGCCTTATCGTACCTCTTTACCGGCTTTATCGTACCTCTTTACTGGCCTTATCGTAGCGGCTAGCAAAGAGGTGGGGCCAGGAGCTGAGACTCAGCAACACTTTAGGTGTGTACAGAGCTTCTCCCATGTCAGCAGTGAGCTTGTTGACTGCTGATACATATAACCTTATCAATGCAATTTTCCTCCCTTTCGCCATGCACTTCTTCACAAACTCTTCAACGATCTGTCGCTCTTGGCAATATATTTAACTGAGCTACAGATATGCACAAATAACATAAGAGGAAGAACTTATAACGAAGTTTCGATCCGACTTGAACCATTAGTTAGTCACATAGAACTATCAATGGCTTTCTCAAAGTCTCTCGGAGTAAGGGTAATGTCGGAAATATGGCATACATTGATGGAGTTTTGAGGCTCATTCATGAAAAAATCTCTGGTTTGTCGATCTTCAGACTGATTAGTGGCTCGCTAAACACAGTCATATTGGGATTTCAGTATCTCACTCATTTCCTTATTGTCATCTGTGTAAGGGACTTAGCAGGGGCCCCGATACTAGATGTGGTATTTGCCTTGTTTTTGGCATATGAAAAGAAATATTTCGAATTTCTTTCAGTTTCACTAATCGCTGTTAGCTCCTGTCTCTCCTGGGTCCTGTAAGAGTCCTTTAACTCAAGTTCGATACTTTCCACTTCCCTGGTTAGTGCTTTCTTCCGTGTATCAGATAATCTAGCGTTCTTGAGGAGCTCAGTGATTCTTCGTAGTCTTCTGTATTATTATTATTATTATTAGAATCAAAAAGAAGCGCTAAGCCACAAGGACTATACAGGTAGTCTTCTGTAGAGGGAGCATCTTTCTCTCTCCAGTTTACTTCTTCTCTTCTTTCTTAGGGGAATATGCTTTGAACATACTTCAGCTGCCTGTAAGTTGATCCTTTCAAGCCCCTGGTTTGGATCCATGTTATTTAAGATATCTTCCCAACATGTTTTATTTAAGACATGGTTTACCTGGTCCCAGTTGATGTTCTTGTTGTTGAAGTTGTATTTGGTGAAGACACCTTCACAAGTACATGCATGTACTTGTGCATGTAAGTCTGAATATCGATTAGACTGTGATCGGAATTAGTTTTTTTTTTTTTATATTGTTATGTTTCTTACCAGGTCCTCATGATTTGTGGAGATAAGGCCAAGTGTGTTTTCCAGTCTTGTTGGCTCAATTATCTGCGAACTTAGTGTGTTCATTACAGAAACTTAGTATTATTATTATTAAAATCAAAAAGAAGCGCTAAGCCACAAGGGCTATACAGCGCTGCATCAGAGACTTAGTAGCTCATGTGTGCGTGACCTTTCATCTGCGCTACCTCCGGGGAATGTTTCAGCTATAACATTATTTGCTACATTCTTCCATTTTGTATGCCTTAGGTTGAAATCACCAAGCAGTAAGATGGTTGGGGATGGAGCTGGAAGGTTTTCCAGACAGTAATCAATTTTCAGTAGCTGTTCCTTGAACTGTTGGGAGGTTGCATCTGGTGGTTTATATACAACCACGAAGACTAGGTTTGGGTTCTCAGTCTTTGTTAGAACTTCAACTACGTACATTATTTGTGATGTACAGCATCTCCGTGCAGATAACTGACTCTCTGACATACAGAAGCGCTAAACCCACTAGGGACATACAGCGCTGTCTTTATAGTAGTATGTCATAGATGTCAGCTAGGCCTGTATACATTGTACATGTACTTGTAGAAATAAATTTATTATTATTATTTTCTTAACTGTACCCTCTTCCATCACAGTTTAATATAACTATACATAATATATATGAAGGTGTACAGGTGGTCAGGTAGCTGAAGCCGTATGGTGGTTGGCCGCATGACAAGACATCTTGGTTGGGTGGTTAATGGGGTTTAAATCCTGTCGACAACACGACGAGGGTCATTAAGCACAGTAACCTCTTCAACACCAGGCAAGAATACCTTGATCCATAAAACAGGAATTAAAACAAACTCTTAGCATATACACGCTGAGAGAAATACACATTTTAAGGTATATATATATATATATATATATATATATATATATATATATTATATATATATATATATATAATATATATATTATATATATATATAATTACATATATATAATATATATATATATATATATATATATATATATAATATATATATATATATATATCCTGCGATATAGCTTGATGGGATCGTGTGAATTAAAATTATTATTATTATAATCAAGGGGGAAGCGCTAAACCCGGAGGATTATACAGCGCTTGGGGGGGGGGGATGTGGAAGGCATTCAGGCTTAACTCGGGGAACTGGAGCACAGATCCAATTCCCTAAATCAAGAGCCCCTCACCAACATCAAGGAACCTTCCTTGAGGGGTGCTAAACCTGTAGAGGGGTCACATACCTTCTCAATTGTTGCACTTATTCCTCTAAAACATTGCCTTAACTTACCTATTGATTTAGTAATTATGCAATAATATTTATTTTCCTAATAGGTTCAGAGGACCTCCGCGAGCCACGGGTTGTTGACCTCTGTGCTGTATAGCCCTTGTGGCTTAGCGCTTCTTTTTGATTATAATAATAATGTTGACCTCTGCCCGGATAATACTGCATGTAAATTCTTTATACAAAATATTTTAAGAATGGAACTTGCAATATTTCGTAGGAACATGGTGAAAATACACATCACAGAATATTAAGGAAAACTTCACAAGAATATAATCTTATTATAATCGTAGCTAAGCGCTAAACGTAGGTCACACAAGAATACACAGGTTTTATCAGTGAGGGGGGGGGGGTTCGATTGCAAAATGAGTGTAGATGGGTAGCCTGTCTGTCTAACCTTCAGCGGGACGAAGGACCGAACTTTCATTACTTTTTAAAATTTAGATTTTTTATTTCCTTGCAAGTTTACAATGTGGTTGACATATTGTAGGATTATTATTATAATCATGAGGGAGCGCTAAACCCGTAGGATTATACAGCGCATGTAGGGGGGGGGGGAATGGAAGGTATTCAGGCTCAATTCAGGGAACTGCAGCGCAGATCCAATTCCCTAGATCAAGAGCCCCTCGCCAGCGTCAAGGATTATTATTATAATCAAAAAAGAAGCGCTAAGCCACAAGGACTATACAGCACCAGCGTCAAGGAACCTCCCTTGAGGGGACATATTGTAGGAAGTATACATACATAGGTAGTTTACAGTGAGGGTTTACAATGATTTGTAATACAAAGAGCCACTATCATACCTTGGCATTACGGGCAGTCTAAACTTGAACAGATCACTGATTACTTAACACCAGATGTCCAAAACATAGTTTGGTCAGGTTGCACTAAATATACATTAGGTTATACTTATGTCAATAGTATTATTATAATAAAAAAGAAGCGCTAAGCCACAAGGGCTATACAGCTATGTCAATTATATGTTATTCAACATTTACATTAAAATATTTACGTTAAAATAGGAGAATTTATTGTACTCTGAGCATTTACTTTTGGGGTTTTGAGGCTCCGGGAGTAACATAGTGAGCAATTAGAATTTGAGGCGGTGGAAAGTGATTTGGTATTATTATTATCAAAAAGAAGCGCTAAGCAGTGTTTTGGTAGATACACAAATAACCCGCACATAAAAGACAGAAGCTTACGACGACGTTTCGGTCCGACTTGGACCATTGACAAAGTCACACTAACAGAGGAGGAGCAGAACGGCTATATATAGGCAGGAAGAGGTAGAGGTAGTAGTAGTGGTAGTAGTAGTAGTAGTAGTAGTACAAGAATTGTATATAATACCGACAGGATGAAATGACACATGCACAACACCCGGGCATCCCCACCGTAGACGTTTCGCCATCCAGCCAGCCACTGGATGGCGAAACGTCCACAACAAAGACAACCAGACGCCGCACATGTGTCTAATTTCATCAGTAGATGTAGTAGAAGAAGAAGAGGTAGTGGTAGTGGTAGAAGTGGGAAATAAGGAAGACGAGCCAGTCAAATACAAAGGAAGGGGAGCACTGCAAGAGAGCTAGAAACCCACAGAGGGAGAGCAAGCGCACCGAGGTGCGTGAAAGGGGAAGTGGTGAAATAAAATAAAGAAGGAACAGAAACACGAGACAGGAGAGAGAGAAAGACAACCCAGAGGAGAAAAGGAGAGAGGAAAGGGGAAGAGGAAGAAGAAAAAGAAGAAGAAAAAATGAGGAATCAGGTTAAGTCACGGGTGTTCTGAAGTTTGGAGCATTTTACAATGTAGTGGGAGAGGAAGGCATCTACAGAGACGAAGCCAGGGCTAAGGTTCATACAAGGAAAGTTGTGTATAAGAGAGGATTCAACTAAACGGCGACTGTTCGAGTTGGAAGTAGGGAAGACAGTTTTAGCAGAAGACCAGTCAATAGGATGGCTATGATCTCTGACGTGACAGAAAAGAGCATTGTTAGTGTCGGCAAGCCTAACACTATTTTTGTGCTCCCTAAGTCTGTCAGAAAGAGATCGACCAGTTTCTCCAAAGTATTGAAGAGGACAGGAGGAGCAAGAAATAGAGTAGACACCAGGAACATCTGTAGAGGGAGGAGAGGTATGAACGAGATTAGTGCGAAGAGTGTTAGTCTGGCGGAAGGTAAGCTTGATGTCTAAGGGACGGAGAGAATTGTTGAGATTAGAAAGACCGGAAATGTAGGGAAGGCAGAGGATAGAAGAGTTCCCATGAGTAGAGAGTTTGGGAGAGAAGAAATTGCGTTTAGCACGTGAGAGGGCAGAGTCTATGAAATGGGAAGGGTAGCCAAGACGGGAGAACGAATTATAAAGAGTGGAAATTTCTGCTGGAAGGAACTGAGGATCACAGATGCGGAGGGCACGGAGAAAGAGGGAGATAAGAACACTTTTCTTGACAGGGGAAGCATGATAGGAAAAGTAGTGAATGTACATGCCACTGTGCATAGGTTTACGGTAAACGGAAAAGGAAAAACCTGTATCTGAGCGGTGGACATGGACATCAAGGAAAGGAAGTAAGGAATTAGATTCCCATTCAGCTTTAAACTTAATGGAAGGGGCAAGATTGTTAAGAGCTTCAAGAAAAGGTTGGAAGAGACTGGAGTCATGAGGCCACAGAGCAAAGATGTCATCCACATAGCGGAGCCAGAGTGAAGGTTGCACATCGAGGGTAGGAAGAAGAACAGTCTCGAAGTATTCCATGTAAAGATTAGCAAGGACAGGAGAGAGAGGAGAGCCCATAGCGACACCGAAGGTTTGGGCGAGTAGGTGGTTTTTAAGAAGAGTCTTGAATTGATATACAGACAGGGTTCCTTTGGTATCTGCTGGTAATGAGTTCTAAATTTTTGGGCCTTTCATGTGCATAGAAATTTTAGTGCGAGATGGACACGGGGAATATCAAAGAATGATCTGTGCCTTGTGTTGTGGTGCTGCGTGTCGCTGTATATTATTATTATTATAATCAAAAAGAAGCGCTAAGCCACAAGGACTATACAGCATGTGTCGCTGTATAGCCCTTGTGGCGCTGTATAGCCCTTGTGGCTTAGCGATTTTTTTTTTTATTATAATAATACTGTGGTGTGTGTTCTGTTAAGGTTGGTAAGTAGTAGTTTGAGTAGAATTATAATAAAAAAGAAGCGCTAAGCTGAAGTTTGAGTAGAGGGTTTATATTTGAGTGTATTATTATTATTATAATCAAGGGGGAAGCGCTAAACCCGGAGGATTATACAGCGCCTGGGGGGGGGGGATGTGGAAGGCATTCAGGCTTAATTCGGGGAACTGGAGCACAGATCCAATTCCCTAAATCAAGAGCCCCTCACCAACATCAAGGAACCTTCCTTGAGGGGTTATTTGAGTGTAGTGTTCTATGTATATAGTAGGCACAATAAAAGGTATGAATGTTCTCTATGGTGAGTAAGTTTAGACTTTTGATTATTATTATTATTATAATCAAGGGGGAAGCGCTAAACCCGGAGGATTACACAGCACCCGGGGGGGGGGGGATGATGTGGAAGGCATTCAGGCTTAACTCGGGAAACTGGATTATTATTATAATCAAGGGGGAAGCGCTAAACCCGGAGGATTATACAGCGCCTGGGGGGGGGGTGTGGAAGGCATTCAGGCTTAATTCAGGGAACTGGAGCACAGATCCAATTCCCTAAATCAAGAGCCCCTCACCAACATCAAGGAACCTTCCTTGAGGGGTCGGGAAACTGGAGTACAGATCCAATTCCCTAAATCAAGAGCCCCTCACCAACATCAAGGAACCTTCCTTGTGGGGTTAGACTTTTGAATATTGGTGGAGTATGCTGTCTGGAATGGGAATTTATCATCATTCTGACTGCAGCCTTTTGCTGTTATTAGTGGTCTGAGATGGTTTATTGTTGATCCCCATGCACAAATTCCATAGGTGAGGTAGGGGTAAATGAGTGAGCGATACAGGGCAAGGAGAGCTGGTTGTGGAACATAGTACCGTATCTTTGATCGTATGCCTACGGTCTTAAGAGATTTTCCTGAAGATTTGTTGTATGTCTGAAATTTGAGGCTACTGACAAGGTGGATTCCTAAGAATTTTCCCTCCGAGTCTTGTGACAGGCGATCCGTTTACCATTATGTTAAGTGGAACATTTGTAGCTCTTTTTCCAAAGTGAATGAAATATTATTATTATTATAATCAAAAAGAAGCGCTAAGCCACAAGGAGTGAATGAAATAGGTTTTGTCAATATTGAGAGTAAGCTCGTTATTCATCATCCAGGTAGATATTTTCTGTAATTCAGCATTTAGTGTTGGCTAGTATGACTGGGCTTGGGCGAGAGAAGACATACTTAGTGTCATCTGCAAATAATATGGGTTTGAGTAGTTGAGATGCATTTGGTAGGTCATTGATTTAAATGACAAAGAGAAGGGGGCCAAAGACACTTCCCTGCAGGACGCCGACTGTAACTGGTTGCGTGGAAGAGTTTGCTCCATTTGTGTACACATATTGGCTTCTGTTGCGAAGGTATGACTTTAGATAGTTGAGGGAGTGCCCTCTTATACCACAGTGTGTTAATTTTGTGCAACAAATCATGGTCAACTCTATCAAAAGCTTTACGTAAATCGACGAATTTATTATTATAATCAAGGGAGAAGCACTAAACCCGTACGATTATACAGCACCTGTGGGGGGATGTGGAAGGTATTCAGATTTAATTCAGGGAACTGGAGCACAGATCCAATTCCCTAGATCGAGCCCCTCACCAGCATCAAGGAACCTCCCTTGAGGGGCCTTGGATCAAGAGCCCTTTATTAGTATCAAAGGAGCTAACAAGGAATATATAAGCTGACGGTGATCTTTTAATCCAAGTTATTAATACATTCACGAAGAAGCGATAAACATGTAGGGGGTCTTGCAGCGCCTGGAGGAATGGGGAGCATTTAGGCTCGATCCAAGGGAGGGGAGCACAGGGCCATAATTAATTAATGAGGTTTAAAGCCTATCAACTACTTGAGGGTCATTAAGGCTCCATTATTACTTTTCACAGAAGACAAGAATACAGTATATTTTTAACACGGTGATTCAACTTTCGACATTATTAGCTGAGAAATAGATCTCTCAAGGCATAAAACTTCACCCACAGGTCTAATTATTATCGTAACCAAGCGCTAAACCCACCAGGGTCATTAAGGTTTAATCTACAGTTAATCTCGCTTAATGCCAATATTTATATTTTGTTTCACAGATTGGCTTAATTATTCACTTTATTTAATGGTGATTAGTTATTAATTAAGTTAATTCGCTTAAGCCAATTTATTTTTTTCACGATGCATATCCTTATTAATGTGAGTTATAATTAATAGAATTAGTAATTTTAAAATTAAGTGTAATGTTGGGTGTCTCAGCTGTGAACACTAAATATCAGTCAAGCCGTCATCTTATTTACACGAAAGCACTAAATCCTAATAGGTTATACAGTGCTAAACGGTAGATAAAAGGTGTAAGGGGAGACAAGTGCCTAAGTGAATGCTATGGGTCAGTTTCATGAATGAAACCGAATATCAAAATGGTACACAATACCGACAGGTTGGTAAGACATGTGCAACAGTTAGGCATCTTTATTCCGAAACGTTTCGCCTACACAGTAGGCTTCTTCAGTCAGAGTACAGAAAAGTTGGCAGGAGCAGTAGAGAAGTGAAAAGGTAATCAGTCCATTACCCTTGAAGACGTAGTTTTGAGGTGGTCAATCTAAACCACCTTAAAACCACGTCTTGAAGGGTAATGGACTGATTACATCTTCACATCTCTACTGCTATCAAATTTTCTGTACTCGACTGAAGAAGCCTACATTATTATTATAATCAAAAAGCGCTAAGCCACAAGGGCTATACAGCAAAGAAGCCTACAGTGTAGGCGAAACGTTTCGGAATAAAAATGCATAACTGTTGCATATTATAGGGAACTCGTGAAAAGTAAGGTACACAGATGACACACTCACCAAACTCTGCTTATACCACCAGGTGTGTGTTTACTGATGAAGGTGAGGCTTTGTCACTAGAGTTCAGTTGTCAGTTCTACGAAGTATCTGCGGCGGACTCCATGCTGGGAGTACATCTAGCATTCCACTCTCTGCTGAAGGAAGCTCGAGCACTCCAGTTCATCAGGAGACTTCCACAACCCAGTCCCAAGGTCTCTAAGAGTGTGCTACTCTCCTCTGCAGTATCGAAAGTCATTGGGAATTTCTTCACTAGGACAGGGGCAGTTCCAAACAAAGGTAGTCAAATATTTGACAAGCTTGCACAAAAATGTTGATATGCTATTCAATACTTGTGTGCTATTATAAATAATTTTAAATATCTTGTATATTGTTGCAACGTGTATTCAATTATAACCTTTACTACCAATATTATGAATTTACTAAAAGTAGTGTTGTAACTAATACAAATTTAGTAGGTTCTTTATTCCTGAATTATTTAATTTAAATAAAGTACTGAAAAAGAACTGGACATTATCATTTTCACTGGGACGTGCTAAACCCATAAGAGCCTGGGTAACGAGAAGGATGGAGTGGGGGTAACCAAGTTTGATTCAAGGAAAGGGAGGGTGGCTCCAATTCCTTGGTTCAAGAGCCATTCACCAGCATCAATACATCCTCTTGATTATTATTATAATAAAAAAGAAGCGCTAAGCCACAAGGGCTATACAGCGCTGCAGGGTAGGGAAGGAAGCGAGGGTATTGGATGGCAGAAGGGAGGAGGGATGATCAGTATGTTACAGAAAACAGCAGGGCAGGGGATAGTACGGGGGTAGAGGGTAGCAAGAGATTGAAGTAGAAAGGGCTGAAGGTATCAGAATTTGTGAAGTCAGTTGTTGTCAAAAAGTCAATGAGAGAGTCGGGAAAGGGAAAGGTGGTCCATCAGCGAGAAGGGAAGGTAAAAAAGAGAGCAGCAGAGCAAAGACGACGACGGAGGTAAATTCTGCGTGCTCGTTGATAATGTGGGCAGTCCAACAGAATGTGGCTAAATGATAATGGAACTTGGCAACTCTCACAGAGAGGAGCAGGGCGCCCTCTCCATGAGATACCCATGAGTAAGACGAGTATGGCCAATGCGAAGACGGGAGAGAGTAGTCTCCCAACTTCGACAACTGGTGATAAGAAGACAGCCAGTAACCTATACTCGGTTTAATAGATTGAAGTTTTTTTCCCAAGCATAGTTAGCCCAACGTTGTTGCAACGGGTGTGAAGTTGGGAGAGATTGCAGCAAAATAGTCCGTAAATGGAATACCTCTACATGAAACTGGTAGGTCATGTACTGCTGACCTCGCAGCAGTGTCTGCCTGTTCATTGCCGTGTACGTCAACATGACCAGGGACCCAACAAAAACAATATCTTTATGCTTGGTAACGATGCGGCGTAGGCAAAGTTGGATATGGAGGACTAAGGGGTGAGGTGTATCAAATTTCTGTATAGCCTGTAAAGCACGAAGGGAGTCTGAGACTACCACAAATGATGACACAGGCATAGATGCAATACGGATAAGTGGGGTAAGGATGGCATACAATTCAGCAGTAAAAATACTAGCCGAAGATAGTAAATGCCCTTGTACGACGCTGTCCGGAAACACTGCTGCGAATCCTACGCCGTCTGAAGACTTAGAACCATCTGTGTACACAGCAATGGCATGAGAATGAGAGTGAAAGTGGTCAAGAAAAAAGAGAGCGGGAAGCGACCGTAGACAGTTGGGCTTTCGAGCAAGGGAGAGAGAAAGAACAGACTCGAACAGCTGGAACTTCCCAGGGGGGTAGGGAAAGTGAGATGCTACATGTACATAGAAAGGTGGTAATTGAAAAGAAGCAAGAGCGAATGAAGGCGAAGAGAGAAGGGGCGGAGTAAACATTTGCGGCGAACAAATAAAGAATGTCTACTAATATCAGTGACCATTCTATAAACGGGAAAGGGTTGCGGAGATCATGAGAGCGTACATAGTAGCGAAGGCAATGGGCATCACGGCGATCGGATAAAGGGTGGGAATGTTCACTTCTGCATAGAGGCTCTCGACAGGGGAAGAGCGAAAAGCCCAAGGATAACGTAATCCTTGGTGACGGGAATGGGGTTAAGGCTTAGAGAGAGTAGCAGGAGATGCCGCTGAATAGATCTGGGGCACCATAATCAAGTTTCAATAAAATAAGGGTGGAATGTAGGCGAAGGAGGGTTCGACGATCAGTCCCCATGAAAAAATGAGCAAGGGTTTTAAAAAGGTTCAGCCGGCTGTGACAAGTTGCCTTCAGAGAGGTAATGTGAGGTTTCAGGATAACCTATGATCTAAGAGGAGGCCCAAAAACTTGACTGTATCACGTTCAGGGATACGGGAGCCATAGAGGTTACAAAGGATGATCGGGAGATGACAGAGCGTCTAGTGAAAAATAATTTTGGTGGGTTTTAGTGCTGGAAAATTTAAACTCAAGTGTGGTGGGCCCCAAATTGGAAACACGGTCGACTGCATGCTGGAGAGAAACTGTAATAAGGTGACAGTCAGCGCCTGCACAGGCAATAGCGAAGTCATCAACATAGAGTGATGACCAAATATTTGATGGAAGACTAGAGGCCAAATCATTAATAACAACTAGAAAAAGTGTTGTGCTCAGAACACATCCCTGGGGGACACCTTCAGCTTGGATAAAGTCCGGGGAGAGCACATTATTTACCCGAACACGGAAATGCCTGTCAGTTAAAAAGTTCTTAAGGAAGGATGGTAGATTGCCTCGAAGGGCTAAAATATTATACCTCCAAGTTGTGTCATATGCCTTCTCAAGGTCAAAAAATATGGCAATAACTGAGTGGTTATTCGCAAAGGGATTACGAACATACGTATCCAAGCGTAGTAAGGGGTCTATGGTAGAACGTCCCTTACAAAAGCCATATTGATGAGTGGAGAGACTGTTGTGTCTCTAAATACCACACTAAATGTCTATTTACTAGGCGTTCCATCACTTTGCAAACTGCACTGGTAAGAGCAATGGGATGATAGTGGGAGGTTTCATGTCCCATAGTGCCTGGTTTGCGGAAAGGGAGAAAAAATGGCGGATTTCCACAGTGTGGGAAAAACTCCTTGTGACCAAATAAGATTGTAAAGGCGTAATAGGACTGCAAGGGCTGACGGATGTAAATGTTGTAGCATACGAATATGAACGTCGTCGGGCCCAGCTGCCGATGATCGGCAAGCTGAGAGTGTAAAAGGCACATTATATACTGTTCTTCTCTGAGAGAAGAAAAGTCCAAGGGTGCTAAAATCTCTGGCAGACTTTGAGGAAAGAAATGAGGGGGATAGAGGAGTCCCTGAGAAATACGGACCAGATGATTGCAATTTCACTGGCAACATCTGGTGCGTTTGCTATATCAACACCGGCAACCCGCCAGAAACAGGAGCCGGGTCAGGAGAATATTTACCACTCAGTTTTAGTACTTTTTTTCCAGACTGCACTCATAGAGGAAGCAGAGGTGATGGTTTGAGGACATAAACTCGCCAGCAAATGCGTTTAGCGTCACGGATGACACGGCGAGCGATCGCACGCTTCTGCTTAAAATCAAGAAGTCTCTCTGTGGTTCTATTGTACCGGTACCCGCCCCATGCAGCACGTTTCAAACGTACTGCACGAGCACAAGCAGGAGACCACCAAGGCAAGCATTTCTGAGAATGCCTGCCCGAAGGGTTTTGGGGTTTTAGAATGAGAAAACTGCGGTTAAAACGGAGGACGAGAAGAGGTGTAAAAGCTCATCGATGGAGGACAAAGAAGGAACCTCTCTAAAAACAGTTAGGTGTGAGTTTAAAAGGGTTTCCAATTTGCCTGATCAAATTGCCAGCGTGGGATGCGAAGAGGTGTTTAATATGAAGGGGAAGTAAGAATGATTGGGAAATGATCGCTGTCATGTAAAATCCCGGAGAACAGACCAAGTGAAGTCTAATGCGGGGAGGAAGAGCAGACTGAGAGATCAATGCAAGAGAGAGTGTGAGACCGAGGATAGAAATGGGTGTGAGTACCTGTATTTAAAACATGGAGGGGGTGAGTGGCAAGAAAAGCCTCTAACTGAATGCCACGGGAATCACAGTGAGACCCCTCCCCCCAGAGGAAATGGTGGGCATTAAAATCACCAAGTAACAGAATCGGTGGTGGTAATGACGAAACAAGAAAGGCAATATCCGGAAAGATTAATGCCCGAGAAGGAGAGAGATATAAAGAACAAAGCGTATACCAACCTATGCAAGGGGATACGGGCTGCTGTGTAATGCAGCGAAGTACGAACAAATAGCTGATGGTACAGAATATCAGTGCGTAGAAGAAGGGCACTTTCATTAAAGGTCCCATCAGGAAAAGGATCTGAAGAATCAATAAATTATAGCCTGAGATGGGAGATATAACAGCAGAGTGTAATTTTGGTTCCTGAAAGGGCAAACACCAACAGGGGAAAATGGAGAGTAACATCTGAAGCTCACCCCGATACCCATGAGGCCGCGTATATTCCACTGTAAATAGGCCATGATTGGCAATGATAAAAGATACCCGAAATCCGCAGGTAAGGGTTCAAAGGACTAGAGGGGTTAGAAAAGTCCACTGCGGAAGCAGTGGAAAAACGTTTTCAAGCAGCGAAGGAACGGTGCGCTGTGAAGAAAGGAGTTGGGGCAGATGGAAATAGAGGAGAGAGGAGCGGAGGGTGGATCAGTGTTTCCCTTGATGGTTTGGTCTCTGCAATATATTCAGAGATTGCTTCAAGTGTTTTCAGAATTCAGAGACGTCGTATGGGAGACAATATTGGAAATGGTAGGGGGAGGATGAGTAAAGATTGGAACTGTAATAGACTGTACCAAGGTAGGGGGGGCGAAAGGGTGGAGGGAACTGGAGAAGCATGGAAAGGGGGACAGAAAAGGCAGAAACCTGGGAGGTGGCAGAAAGAGGAAGAAAAATTGGAAAGGGAACAGGGGAGGAAGGTACAGTACGAGGAGGAGGGTGAACCCCTTTTCACTTGTAAAAAGAGCCAGTGAGAGGGGGAGAACCAGGTACAGAGACAGGGAGGGAAAATGAGGGTGAAGATGGGGTAGGAGGTTGTTAACGGACCTCTTTTTTTGACTTTTGGACGAAGTAGAGGGCACGATTGGAGGAGGTTGTCATACGAGATCTCGGCGCTACTGAGGCTGTGAGAGCAGAACACGGAAGTGAGATCAGACTGAGGACGTTGAAGTAGGGACGTCTAGAGCGAGGACAGCAAAAGAATAGCTACAGGAGTGACTATGGGAGAGGTAACCACAGAGGTGGGTGACAGAGATGGATACAGAAGTGGGGGACGTTTTGAAACACGGGAATAAGAAACACGAGGTAAGTCTCCCTTGGAGGCGGAGAATGGAAAAACTGCAATGGCATAAGGGAGGACATTTCTGCCTTCTTTGAGGGTAACGGAATTTATGCTCGTTTAAGTAGTCTTGACGACGGCGAGAGTACGGAAGGGTGAGCTCATGACAATTTAGGGCATAGAGGGAGGTCGATTGCATCAAGACGTATTAGAATGGTCATCGGCAACACAGACTGGGCCATCGGCGATTGATCTGCAAAATTTCGTCTGGATGGCAATTCGCCAGCAATTCTACACTGGTGCGGTGTAGGGATCACCTTTCGAACTGGTAAACGATGTCCTGCTACATAAACTGAGGATGGATGTTCACGGCTGTCCAAAGTTTTAACGAGCAACATTGCTTGGGTATCGTCTCAGCCCGCGGGCAGGAAGAACGTAAGTGTCTACTTGAGGTTGGGAGATCTTGGAGTTCCCTGCTGTTCAGAATGTCAGTGCCACATGTCTGGAAATTTTGTTGCTTGACTATGGTATGGGGCAGCAGAAAGGGGGGGTGGGGGGGGAATTGCCGTACACTACAAGAATGAGGGAATTGATGCTTTTCAATAGTTACAGGAACAGTATTGATATGGGAAAGACGAGATAGCTCATGAGCCTGGTAGTATTCTGTACGGTGACGATGCGCTATGCTCTTGAGAGCATGAAAAGCATATCTTTACCATAATAAAAAACATGGGCGTTTTCTAGTGAGTGCCTGCCAATACTGTGGTCAGGAAAGATAGGCAGGTAGTAGAGGGAAGTCGGTCGTAAGTGAAGAATTTAGTCCATTGGTGCAGTCTATAAGAACTGAGCGTGGAAAGGTAGTGAATGGAGTTGTCGATCTTTTCTAGATGAAGTTATGAGAAGGTGGAGAAGTATCACAGCAGGTAATTGTAATTGGCGTTTAGGTGTGGGAACATAGTTGTGTCCGACGTGGGAACGGATCGGCGATTCGAAAATTGCCGCACCGTTAGAGGGAGAGGCCGGAAGCATAGTTCTGAGGGAGAGCGAAGGTCAGATAATAAAATCGAAGGAGTCAGTCGAGGCCTTCAGTACCTGAAAGCAGGTGAGGAAACAGCACCGGCGATAGTTACAGAGGCATGAGGAGTGTCCGAGAGTGGTCCAAAGACGAGGCGGGTCAGAACGGGGTGCGGTATCAAGAAGGGGCCCGGGGGGTAGCAGGTTATGGACTAGGGCTCCCAGGGTTTAGGTTACTTCTTTCTTTTTTTTTTTTAAGAAAAAAAAAGAAAGAAAAGAAAATAAAAATAAAAAAAAGAATAAAAAAAAGGGGAACGGGGAGGGATAGTTCCTAGGAGGAATGAAAGGGCCAGAAATCTCCCTCCGCGCCCAAGAGGACCTCAGCACCGCAAGTAGCGCAGATGCAGCATGGAACCCGTGCCATACCCTACCCATAATGCCAGTAAACCGGCAATCCGGGATAGCAACCTCACATCTGCCGAGCTACCTCGGTGGACAAAAGAGAGGGCGGCTGGATATCCGCCACAAAGCATACCTCCTTCGGCCACCACCCCCGGAATCCGAAAGGTGGCTTCCAGAGATACACCCATCGCCCGAGAGACACCCAAAGCCACCCTTCATGATACCGGAGAGGGATCGAGACATCCCCAGGTGATCCAGATTCCACGGCAAACTACGCCACAGCCAAAAACCTCAACGGAATGGGATGGAGCCCGGTACCCTTCCCCCTACCTATGAACTAGTATGCCTGTGGGAAAAATCCCAAAGGCCAAAAAGAGGAAGGGCAAAAGGGAGGGGTGGGGAGGAGGAGGAGGAAAGGGAAAAGGGGAGGAGGAGGAGGAAAGGGAAAAGGGGAGGAGGAGGAGGAAAGGGAAAAGGGGAGGATGGGATAGGGAAGGGGGGATTGGGGGGTAATTAGGTTCGGTCTGAGGAAGGAGACTGATAGGTCTAATTCCTCAGACCAAGAGCCTCTTCACCACACTAAGGAGCCCCCCTTGAAGAGGTTGGACTCAAAAGGACCCATACATTATGAGTCCAACCTTGAGGGACACCCATTATATATTAACCAAATGAAAAAAAATTGTCGAGATTTTTAAAACTGGTGACCAATCAGAAGTGAAGAGGAAATACGATGGTACCTCGAGTTACCAACTTAATTCATTCCAGAAGGCTGTCTGAGTGCCGATACCGAACAAATTTGTTCCCGTAAGGAATAACATAAATTAGATTAGTCCATTTCAGACTCCCAAAAATACACTTACAAAACTGTTCCAGTTGGGAGCTGTTTGAAACTCAAGGTACCACTGTACTTTAATAGGCATTTAATGCATTTTTTTTTTTTACATAATTTGAAACAAGACTGAGAACCTGATTATTAAACCCCTATATAGTATATTACAGTGAATGGGACAATAAAAGTATCACATTTCCTTTCTTTTTATTTCATTAAATTCTGGAGGGGTACATCATCTGTAAGGTAGAATTTTTCTGGGTTAGTTTCATTACAAAAAGTGAGAGTTAAAAAAAAAATATTTAAAACGTACTACAAATAAACAACAAAATATTATGTGCAGTATTACGAAAACTTCAAGTAAAAAACAAAACAAAACAAAACTTCGTTTTACATAATGTTCCATTTTTAACCTAACCTTTCAACACATTACTATACCCAACAAACTTTGCAATCTGACATTCTATGCTTAAATAAAACTACCAAAAAAAACAATAAAAAATATTTGCTGTGCATTTGACCAAGGTACTGACTCCAAATACCTCATCTTGATAGACCTCAAGGGAAAATTTTAAGAATTAATCTTCATTTCCCATCCCCTCTTAAAAAAAAAAAAAAAAAAAAAAATTATGGAGTCGCAAGCTTATCACTATGGACCAATAAGCATATTTTTTTTTATCAACTCACCACACTAAAGCAACTGGATCTACAGTATGATTTCAGTTGCATGTCTCTCAAAAACTGTACCTTACTTTTTAATTTGTCATACTACGGTTTTCCTATAAATTTAAGAGGAAAGGAGAGATACTTGTCTATCTCTCAATGATGGTTTTACAAAACTGTATTACAATCCATACATTTTTAGCTTTCTACCCAATCCGTGAGTATGCATGAATATTAACCCTTTCACTGCCGAGACCCTTGCTCACAAACTTGCTCTCAGTGTCGAAGAATTTAATTTTTTTTTTTAATGAAATGACAGAATCTTTTCCCAATGGGAATGACACCAAAAGCACAAAATTTCATGGAAAACTCATGGAATTATGCTTCTGCAAAGTTAGCGGTCTCGGCAATATTTACGCATCGGTGATTTTGTCCACTTTGAGCCCTATTTTCAGCCAATTCCATTGTTCCAGTCGACCAAACTCATAGCTGATACACTAGAACTCCTTTTGTTCTATCAACTGTGTACAAGAAACCACTCATTTACCTATTTCAACTACCCAATACTGTGACTCACAAAATTGAAATGACATGACTGCAAACTAACCATACCACAGGTGGGGTTAGAACCCTGCCCGTGGTATGGTTTGTTTACCCAATACTGTGATCAGAAATTGGTAATTTGGCCAATTTCATACGCAATTCAAGGCCAATTTCAAAATAGGGTGCAGAATTAACAATGCAAACATTCCTAGCACTAAAATAACATTTCCGGGCCCCTCTTATATTACGCTTGCTTTCAATTTTTAATTTTTATTCACAGAAAACATCAGCAAAAATCGAACAGTTCTGTTACTTTGAGCTCAATTTCAAGGTACAGTGGACCCTCGCTTAACAAACGCATCGCTTAACGTTAAATCCGCCTAGCGATACATTTTAACGCAAAAACTTTTGCCTCGGCTAGCGCTAAAAAACTCCCTCAATGCGATTCGTTCGAGACGCGTCCACGTGCGGCCTGAGCCCGCCTCACTTGTTCCGTGGGTGCCAGTGTTTACAAGCCAGCCACCGCGGTATCTCCCAAGCATACAATCGGAACACTTCATATTATCACAGCCTTTTTAGTGATTGCACCTGCAAAATAAGTCACCATAGGCTCCAAGAAAGCTTCTAGTGCCAACCCTACAGCAAAAAGAGTGAGAATTATTTTGGATATGAAGAAAAAGATCATTGCTAAGTATGAAAGTGGAGTGCGTGTCTCCGAGCTGGCCAGGTTGTACACAAAACCCCAATCAACCATCGCTACTATTGTGGCCAAGAAAACGGCAATCAAGGAAGCTGTTCTTGCCAAAGGTGCAGCTTTGTTTTCGAAACAGAGATCGCAAGTGATAGAAGATGTCGAGAGACTGTTATTGGTGTGGATAAACGAAAAACAGATAGCAGGAGATAGCATCTCTCAAGCGATCATATGTGAAAAGGCTAGGAAGTTGCATGACGATTTAATTAGAAAAATGCCTGCAACTAGTGATGATGTGAGTGAATTTAAGGCCAGCAAAGGTTGGTTTGAGAGATTTAAGAATCATAGTGGAATACATAGTGTGATAAGGCATGGTGAGGCTGCCAGTTCGGATCACAAAGCAGCTGAAAAATATGTGCAGGAATTCAAGGAGTACACAGACAGTGAAGGACTGAAACCTGAACAAGTGTTTAATTGTGATGAAACAGGCCTGTTTTGGAAGAAAATGCCAAGCAGTACCTACATTACTCAGGAGGAAAAGGCACTCCCAGGACATAAGCCTATGAAAGACAGGCTTACTCTGTTGATGTGTGCCAATGCTAGTGGTGATTGCAAAGTGAAGCCTTTATTGGTGTATCACTCTGAAACTCCCAGTGTGTTCAGGAAAAACAATGTCCTCAAGGCTAATTTGTGTGTGCTGTGGAGGGCAAACAGTAAGGCATGGGTCACTAGGGACTTTTTCTATGCATTTGCCCCCACTGTGAAAAATTACCTAATTGAAAAGAAATTAGACCTTAAGTGCCTCCTGGTACTAGACAATGCTCCTGGTCATCCTTCAGACGTGGCAGAGCGACTTTCTGCGGAAATGAGCTTCATTAAGGTCAAGTTTTTGCCTCCTAATACCACTCCTCTCATGCAGCCCATGGACCAGCAGGTCATTTCCAACTTCAAGAAACTGTACACAAAAGCTGTTTGAAAGGTGCTTTGTAGTGACCTCAGAAACTCAACTGACTCAAAGAGAGTTTTGGAGAGATCACTTTAGCATCCTCAATTGTGGAAACATTATAGGTAAGGCTTGGGAGGAAGTGACTAAGAGGACCTTGAACTCTGCTTGGAAGAAACTGTGGCCAGAATGTGTAGACAAAAGGGATTTTGAAGGGTTTGAGGCTAACCCTGGGAATCCTATGCCAGTTGAGGAATCCATTGTGGCATTGGGGAAGTCCTTGGGGTTGGAGGTTAGTGGGGAGGATGTGGAAGAGTTGGTGGAGGAGGACAATGAAGAACCAACCACTGATGAGCTGCTAGATCATCTTCAACAGCAAGAGGCCACACCTGAGGAAACTGCTTTGGAGGAGGGGATAGAGAAATTGAGGAAGTTGCCTACTTCAAAGATTAAGGAAATGTGTGCAATGTGGCTTAAAGTGCAAACCTTTTTTGATGAAAATCACCCTCACACAGCTATTGCAAGCCATGCTGGTGACTATTACACTGACAATGTTGTGAAACACTTTAGGAATGTCATAAAGAAACGGGTTGTACAGGCCTCTATGGACAGATACGTTGTGCGACAGAGGTCCAGTGACTCTCAAGCTGGTCCTAGTGGCATTAAAAGAAGGGAAGTAACCCCGGAAAAGGACTTGCCATCTCAAGTCCTAATGGAAGGGGATTCCCCTTCTAAACATTAACACCATCCACAGTCTCTCCTCCTCCCACCCCATCAATCATCACCAGATCTTCAATAAAGGTAAGTGTCATGTAACTGTGCATGTCTTCTTCAGTTTGTGTGTATTAAAATTAATATTTCATGTGGTAACATTTTTTTTTTGTTCATACTTTGGGGTGTCAGGAACGGATTAATTTGATTTCCATTATTTATCGGGAAAATTAATTCGCCTAACGTTGAGCTCTCAGGAACGGATTAATAGCGTTAGGCGAAGGTCACTGTACTTTCATTTCGTAAACCATTCAAAATCATCTCTAGTTCTGTAATATATCTTCCATTCTATCAATCGAGAACACAACCATAAATACCAAATGAAATTACACCATAAAGTCGCTGTTTTAAACAAAAAACACTCAGTTCTTTTTCTTGTTATGCGGTGCGTGCTACAGGATTTTTTTTCTACTGCGCACACTGACCACTCAGACCCATTCTCTCATATGTAGGCCTACCAGCTTTCTCCTGTAAGATTGGAAGCCATTAGAATTTTGGCGTACTATTACAGGACTGACACTGGCTTGCAAGCCATAATATTACTGGACTGACAGGGAAAGGGTTAATTAAAAACAGAAAAAAAGGAATGATTACCACAATTTTGGAAAAATGACTATCGAAACATTCCAGACTAAAAAATAACCACAATTTTTAAAGAGGTGGACCAATAAGCCAGCAGAAGTCCTCAGATAACCAAAAGCTCCAGCTGTGGGTTATCAGAAGACTAAGACCTGCATCAGGGAACACTTGTCCTGTTCCTGGCAAACATTATACCTATCATTCCAGACTACAAACCTCAAATGAAACTGTCAGTGACACCTGCTTAAGTTGGGTAAGCAGTTGATTTGTATGATTTAAAAAGCACTAGATCCATTTGGATATTTTAGCACTTTTAATTTAAAAAGTGCTATGATATTAAATAACTGACTGTCAATGTCAACCAATTAGTTATAGCGGGTCCCTGCTTAATGACCTAGATGGTGACCGGAGAAAAATATTCTTAAGCACACAGAATTTCCCATGAAAGCCTATGGTATTGGGATGATGTTTTTTCAACCCTTTCAATCTACCTGGAGGGCATTCCTGGGATCAATGCCCCTGCAGCCCGGTCCATGACCAGGCCTCCAGTACCCGAGGTTTTTTAAACCCTTTCAGTAACTGTTACCTGGATCTTTGTTACTGATGCCAGGTTCCCTCATGAAGATCAATGTTTTGAGTGCAGCTCCCTCAGATAAGCCGTGAGCAGTAAATTTTGACCTAAATATGAGAGAATGTGTGGTGAGTGTGCACAAAATAAAAATATCCTGCTGTGCATGATGGGAAAAGCAAAGCTCTGACCTTGTGTCTGATTTAAAACAGCAACTGTGAGATGTTTTATTAGTTGTTTACTGTTATCACTTGATAGAATGAAACAAGAGATGATGTTGAACGATTCAAATTGGGCTCAAAGTAATAGAAACATTAGATTTTTTGCTGATTTTCCTGAGGACAGGTAAGGCTTTCCTACCACCCCCCCAGTCTGTTTTATGGGCTTTTAATAAGACTGATTCAATTATTCCAATTGAACACACCATGACCAATCATTCATGGTTAAATCTTATTACCTGAGGAACTGGGTAAATTTTGTT